CTACTCTGTGACTTATTTATCTAAATAAGCTCCATCTTTCTCTAAGCAAATTATGTATTTAAACTTCTCCATCATATCTTAAACTAATCTTGAATCTTATGTAAGCTTAAAATTTAAAAAGGAATATCTTTGCTCTAAACTTTCTAAATTGCCTTACCTTAAAATCTCTCTCTCTCTCTCTCTCTCTCTCTCTCTCAAGGTCACTTGCCCTAAGCACTCTCTCTCAATAGGATTCCTACTCTCATTGATCGATATATGTTTTTCTGTAAATTGTAGCTAAATAAAGGTAGAATAGATATGAGTATATTATTGAGCCTTGGTAAGTGCTCAATAAAAATAATCGAACATCTATTCACATAGATTCAGGTTCTCCTTGTATGACCTAATAATTCCAAGAAAATAGTAATTTATAAATGGGGAATGTAGGTTTTCCAAATTTTTCTTTCAGGGTCATAAACCTTTTGGTGGATTTCTTAACATGCGGGAAAACAAGAAGTTTATCACTTGTGAAGATAGGAGTAGGCCCCTATTTCTAAGTTTTGATCATTTGGAGGGAAAAAAGAAGAAGAAGACTATGTTGCCAACTTTTTGTTCATCCAAACTTGGCCTCAAGGACCAATCCTGATGCCCATAAACATTCTCTCTTTGTTATGAAGGTTATCCTTCCAATTGTGCTAGTGATTCTCCATCCATTTAATGGACGATGGAGGGAGGGAGAGCCAATGTGCAACATGACAAGTAACATGTTTCATGTTACAACCTACTCTCCTTCCATCTCCATCCAACCATATTATAGGCCGGTGATAACCTTGTGACCGAAAAACAATAATTGTGTAGATCACACTAAACCCTTGTACACGTGCTTAGTCCAATCTTAAAAAACACAATTTTATTCTCTCCGTCTATGCGTAGAGAGGTTATCTTTCTAACCAATGAATTGGATGATAATGAAGGGTAGTTTTTTTTTTTTTTGGTTGTTCAGTGGTGATTATAGCCCCTATCGTTTTTACAAATAGTTAGGTATTCGACGGAATCAATGTGCAAAGAAGCCACAATGTGCAACTGCCGCATGGGGGTGCCACAACTATGACCCCCGGAGAGTTACAATAAACAGGTGCCACAACTATGACCCCCGGAGAGTTACAATAAACAGGGTGGTTCTTCTTCTATCGCCTTCCAATCCATTAATGGGACATTCGCTAAAATCACAATTTCATGATTAATCGTTGCAAGCTTTAGCCTCTTTATGTAGGCCCCACTGTGATGGCCATTTCTCATTCACAACCATAAAACGGTCATACACTTATGCCTAATGAGTATTCATGAAAAAAAACAAATCCTTATAGGCATTTTGTGGCTTAAAAAAAAATCAATGAAATTTTCAACAGATCCCTTAGTTGAGACCTAGGCCTAAATTTGCTCAGGGTCTGGTTAAACCGACTAGGACTTTTAAGACCGACTTTGTGTTCCAAATTGTAACAAAGATATCCAAATATGGATGGAACTATATAGGTATTAGTAATGTTTCCTTGTTTATCTCTCTATTACATATATTAAACCATAATTCAAGTTAGGGATATATGCCATTAAACTAAAGTGGGATCGTTTGGGTTGACCTATTAATTGGGTTGGGCCGGGATTGGTAACATTGAATCTCCTTCAATGAGACTCTAAGTAGCATTAAGTCGTTGAACGAGTTTGATGCCCTCGAGTAAAGCAGTTAGTTCAGCCTCTTTGTTGGTTGTAGCTAGGAGCACGACTGCGCAACAGCCAATACCTCTCCCATAAAGTTTTGGATAAGGCATCCGACACCACAATGGTCTGCTCCCTCCAAATAATCCTCGTCTCTGAAAAACTACGGCTTAGGCCACAAAATATGGCTCGAGGGCCAGGCCACCAAAAGGGGGCTTGGGCAGGACTAGGGCCAGCTCGGCTAGGCCCTTTTTTTCCCTTATTTTTTGTTTTTGTTTTCAATTTCAGGTTTGCTAGGCTTGGCTCCTACAGGGCTAACGCCAGGTCTTGGTCGAGGCCTTTTTAGGGCCTACTCTATAGGGACCATGGCCATGTTTGGGCCATGGGTGGCCCAGTTCGGGTCTGGCCAGTTGCCAACTACCTATGGGGAGAGAGACATAGGTATGGCCTATATACACCTAGATTTGTAAGTGTCTCGAATCCTAAATATAGATTCTAGATAAATGAATTACCTTCTCTTAGTCATCCTAGACCCATTTTGGTTTAACACTGAGGAAAATATCTTTCACACTAGGCAGACATCCTAAAAACCTTCAAATGCATTACCTCAACCAAATTAGGAAATTTCTGTCTTCATATTGTTGGGAATCTTAACAAACATTCGAGCAGTCCAAGAGTCACGCAATTTCAATATGCAATTTGAAACTTATAGGCCAAAGACCTAATAGTGATAAATATAATATAATATAATCCCATCTTAGTTCTCCAATGACTTTGCATCTCTAACAACATGTTATGTGTAAGTGGGGCGCCGCGTGGGGAGTTAATGGAAATGAATGAAGCCCCATGGCTCCTGTTTGATTTTAGAAGCTTCTAATGGCCTTCCTGAATCTGTTTGGACTGGGAAATTTGTGTTTCTAAATTCGAATAGCTTTGAAAGTTCAATATTCAAGACTTTCATCTACATTAAACTTTTGTTAGGATGAATCCAACGAAAGTTAAGAGATAAAAAAGGTACCTAATTTAGAAATTTGAGAAGAATTTGATAAATAATTGCTTTAGGATCCAAATTGTCATCAAAATTCAGGCTTAAAACAGGTCAATTTTTCTGAAATCCTTACATATATAGCCCATAAAATAAATAAGGATTGGGATTAGAAACATCAAAGAAATCCAACCTCAAAATTTTAGTAAGGGTGAACTTATATCACCAAAGTGATATGTATATTCCTCACCTTTTACTATAAAACGACGGTCCAAATCAGCTCAAATTTGATGAGATGATATATTCCTAACCTTTTACTATGTAAATACTTCTTTGTACCCATTCCAATCATAAGATAGGAAATTTAGAGACCCAACGACCACAAAGAGATCCAAAGATCTAGAGATTTAGATTAGAGAATCAAAGCTTGAAACCTAAGTGTGCCTCAAGAAAGGTCCCATAAAGCGCGAGCCAAGACCTAACTACCAAATCCATATGAAACGGCATTTTAATAGCCCTAATTTAGGCCACCCGAGCCCCTATTAGGCCAAAAACCCTAAGAAATCCTAGATCAAGCCTAAAAACCCTAAGAAATCCTTGATCAAGCCTAAAAACTTTAAATCTAATCTCTTTGTCCTAATTCCCATTAACTTCAAGAGAACCCTTGAGTATATAAATAGAAAATCTTAAGGGAAATTTATGTACGGACTTGGTTTTTTTTACTGTTATAACGGTATGACCCGAAAATGGCTTGTTATTCTTCTACTATTTTTTTTATTTTTTTCCAAGTTTTCCACTAGTCCGATGTTTGACGCTTGGTTTGGCTAAAAAATAAGCACCGAAGGCCGTTCGATATTCAAACCATCGGACCACATTATTTACTTAAAAAAAAGAATAGAAGCTTGTCCAATGGCTCGAACATCAGATCACTTGTTTTACTAAAAAAAAAATGAACAAAAAGCGGTCTAATGGTTCAAACATCGGACCGTTTGTTTTACTAAAAAAGATCAATAGAAGGCGGTCCGATGTTTGGACTGCTTGTTTTACTAAAAAAATTCAATTGAATATTTCTATAAAATGGCATAATTTTTTGTTTTCCTTGGCGCTGAATTGTGGATTTTTTATGCAGGTTTTTACCAGATCTTGTGTTCTGGCTACGGTAATCGTGCTTTGGTAGCAAGGCAGGTTAATTCACTCCATTTCTGATCATCATTTTTCCCTCTCTAGATTTGTTGGCTATTGGGTGGTGGTCTTGAGCAAGATGGTGGTCTCCAGACCGCTTACTTTTGGCCAGGTATCTGAATTGGTGTTAGCATCTGCTATGCTTTGATGCTTCTTCTGCGTAATTTAGAGAGACAGAGATTGGGGATCCAGTTGTAATGGGTTTTGCTTATTTTCTCTGTATATGCCCAAAGAGTTTTATGTTCTTTTCTTTTAAGTAAAGTAGTAAACTAATCGACCTGTAAACCCAAACCAAGCCAGATAGGAGAGAGAAAGCGAGATTATTGCAAGGGAGAGAGAGAGAGGGCCGAAAGCAAGTGAGGCAGAAGAGAGAAGAGAGAAGAGAGGAAGAAGAGAGCAAAGTTTTCGAGGGTCACCCAGGACAAACTTATGAAAAAATAAAAAAAAAATCGGGAACCGTCATTCGAAGTAATAGCAGGTTATTTTCAAACCATAGTAAAACAAAACCCAGTCCCTAGTAAATTTCTCAAATCTTAAATACCAGTTTAGTTTTCAAGCAAATTTTCAAATTGCAAACGACTAAAACACAAACGTATTAGTATATGATCCGGCGCCTTTGCTCCTCGTGTAGGTTCCATGGGGAAGATTGTGTTATTTTATTCTACTTTTTTTTTCTTTTTCCCCTTTCCAAGCAAGTATTTGCTTTAGATCAATTTGTTTTTCAAGTTTCTAGTGACTTCTCAATGCTTTTTAGTGAGATAGTTAGCCAGCATAGCCCTTTATCCATAAGAAGGAGACCATGACTTTTTGGTGAAATTTCTCTCCAAAAAGTTGAAACTCAAGGTATTTTTCTTTCTAAAAATTTTAGAGAGAGATTTAAAGGTATTTTTGTCTAACATAAAGCTGTTTTCTTCGACGGGGAATGGCTGTAAAAAAAAAATTATTGTGTCAATAAAGGAGGTCGATAAAGGTCTAGATATCATATCAAACAGGACTCTCCCCAACCAATAGATAAATCGCATATCCACGTGAAACAGAACAAAAGGCCACCAATGTCATTCAGGCCGGTACAAAATGGTGGGCCACGAGGGCCCGCATATTGATGGGATGGCGGGATTCATAAAACCCTTATTCCCCTCCTCCTTAATACAAGAAAGGGAGGATTCACCCTCCGTAAATTTCACTGCACCAGCGTGGCCTCAGACTTGTACCAACTCCTGGGCCATATTATCTCTCTCATATCGCCAACATGGCCACCGCCACCGCCACCACCACCACCACGGAGGTCAGCCACGTCACCACTTACACGGTGAAGCCCGCCCGCGACACCGGCGGGAAGCGGTGGCACCTAGGAGCCCCTGACCTCTCCATGCTCTCTTACCACTACATCCAGAAGGGCCTCTTCTTCACAAAACCGCCATCTCCGATAGACGAGGTGCTCGATCGCCTCAGAGCTGCCCTCTCGGAGTGCCTTGTCCATTTCTTTCCTCTCGCCGGCCGCCTCGTGTATGAGGAGGAGGAGGAGTATTTCTATGTGGATTGTAACGATGAAGGGGCCGAGGTTGTTCATGCTAAGGCGGATGTCACGGCCGAGGACGCTATGGCGCCGGCCCCTGTCGGAGTCACTCCCATTTTGAGGGATTTCTTTGCTCTCAATGATAAGGTGGGATTTGATGGGATGACCCTGCCCTTGCTGGCCATTCAGGTAATCAATTCATCCTTTCAATTTTTTTTTGTATTGTTCTTTGTTTGATTAATCTTCTTGGAACACTGATTTTGCTTTTTGATTTTCCCTTTTGGTTTAATGGATGCCCGCTCTAGTTTTTTTTTTTTGGTCAAATTGACCAATTCAGTAGGGAAGATGTAGGGTTAAAATTAGGGGAAAATTGGTTCATGGATGCGCCCTGCTGCTCAAATCGAGCAATTCTAAGATGCAGGACTGAATTTGGGCAAAATGAGGTTACATCTGGTTTCCTCTTTAAAGAAGTCTCTGAGGCCGTATCTGACATTGAGGTGCCCTGGCATCTAATTAATTCTCGCAAGCAACCGTGGTAGTCCTTATGGGCCTTACGTTTAACTGAATGGTCGTCCTCAGGAGAATTATCTTTTACTTGTCCTTTTATTCCACAGAGATTTTAGTTTCTTTGCTGGGGCTTTTAAATGGTGTGATTTGCCAAAGGGTCGGTTTGAAAATAGTAAGACATGGCGCACTTCAAAGCATGAATTGTGAAGCCTCAAAAATAGTGCAGGTCTAACAAATATGTGAATGTTTGAAAAAACACAGTCGAGTTCATGTGATACAAACTTAAAATAGACATTATTTTTAGGATTTGAAATCTAATTTTTTCTAAGTCCATAGGTATTGAGGTCAAGATAATGGAATTGAGATTTTCTAGCGTCAGAACTCTAGTTTCCGGCAAGATTTGGCCGGCATTGCCCTACAATAACATTTGAACCAGTATATCATTCTTTCATGGGAGGCACTGTACATCTGTCTTCTTGGTCTGAAGACCTACTTGGGAGAATTTTGAAATTATGAGAATCACTATATGATTATTTTCAAATAGAAAAAAGAAAAATTGAGCTTCTGAGTCTTTTAACACTTAATTCTCACCTTTGAAAATTGGATGCTCTCTATTCAAACTTGAGATATTGTTTTTTTTAGTCTGGTTCGAAGAGGTTACATCCTGAATGTGGTTGGAAGAGGTTACATTCTCAATGTTTAAGGTCCTAAAATTGCTCCTGGATTGGGTTTTACCCCAAAGAGTGAATGGCAATACACTCCTGTGGAGCCTAAAATCTCTTGGCATCACGATTTCATTACAAAAGACAAAGAAATTGCTACTTCAAATAAGATGAAAAGAGATTTACGACCTTTTCCTCTCCCTATTCACGTACCATTTCCGCTTTAGGTGGAAATGTAATTTCCATGTGATACTTTTGTTATTATACAGTATAACTTATATGGAAAATTATGGATACTGAACTTGGTGGATGTAGTATAACTTATAGGGAAAATTATGGATACCGAACTTGGTGGATATTCTACCCCCAATATTTTTAGTATCACACATATAATTCAGTTATTGTTTTTTCTTGCATTTATCCGAGTCAAAAAGTCAATATTTTAAAGATTAAATTACCCTTCCCCTCTTTTACCCTACCCATTAAATCTCTTTCAACCCACCCTCTTTTCCTCTTTGTCTCTCTTGCGTTGAAAAATGCGGTCCGACACAGAAGTGTGCCGGGTCAGCTTCTAGCTTCTGGAATTCTAGAAGCCTTATAGCCGGTCTGGCACACTTTTGTGTCTAGTCACGAGGCTTCTAAAATTTCACAAGGCAGAAGGCGGTCCAACATACTTTTGTGGCAAACTACTTTTTTTTTTCTTCTGTTTGGTTCAAAAGTGTGCTGGATCGGTCACGAGGCTTTTGGATCTCTAAAAGCTAGAAGCCTGCCCAACACACTCTTGTGCCGGACCGCTTTTTTTCAATGAGAGAAAGAGAGAGACTGATATTGGGTGGAAAGAGAGACTAATATTGGGTGGGGAGAGAGAGAGAGGGGGTCGAGAGATTTAATGGGTAAGGGTAATTTAATGTTTATAACATTGACTTTTTTATTAAGGTAAAAGCAAGAAAAAACAGTAATTGAGTTATGGGTGTCATACTAAAAATATTAGATGCAGAATGTCTACAAAGTTCTTTTGAGGTGTACGGGTACTTTCCCATAAGATATAAGATGTCTTTTATTCTTCTAATTTTAGGGTATATGAAGTACACGTTTAATGTGATCTGCAGATGTATCGTATTCTTAGAATTTTACGGTATATGAAGTACACATTTGATCTGATCTACAAGAAATCCATGAGATGTTTCTTGTTTCTTCTTGTAAAGTCGCTTAATTTAGGCCGTGTGCTTTAGTCATTTGCCCATGTGAATTTTGGACTTCGGAGATACCGGAGATACCAGTGATACCATACGCTTAATTATCTATTATTTATCTTTTACCCTTTCAAAGGGGAGCAGAGCCGGGCCGACCAAAGAACCAGAAAGGACATGTTTGGGCCTGGCCAGGCCCTGAGCCGGCACTACTCTTGGACTAGGTGGCCTTGCGTAGCCTTATTTTCAGGATTTCGTATGGGGCCAATTGATATGAAATTTTCTTGTTTTCTATATTCATAAGAGGGAAAACAAAAATTGCCAGTTTCGGGCCAGGCTATTACCTCTAGCCAAATCTTGGTCCGCCCCAAACTCTAGGCCTAGATTTCAGGCTTAGTCCCTACCCTATGACCAAATTTAATGGTTGAGCTTGGGCTGTTTGTCACCCCTTTTTATATCATATTGGAGTTGTTGCTGGTGGTAGGTTACTAGAACTTTGATAACTCTCATTAATAAAATTATATGAAAACTGAAAATATTTTTTTTTTATAAAATTATATGAAATCTGAAAATATTTTTTTTTTTTTTAACGGTAGTTCAACAAAAATGATCGCAAATGTGATGTAGCATTATTAATGTCAATTGCTAACCACCCAAGCCCAAGCTCGATCCCTATCCAAGGATAAGACCTTGAAATATATTTATGCACTAGGAAACTCACCTTGCTCACCCTATGCCTTCTCCCAATTTTAAATCATAGGTGCCTCGCCTTCAAAAGAATTTTCTTTGAGGCAACAACTAAATCCTAAAGCACCCAAACATTGTTAAATGGAGCACCATTTACATAACAAAAAATAAAGGTGGACTTGATATGAAAAAGTATGAGGAACAGTAACACTAGCAATGTGGGAATGAAGATTGACTCTCATGTGTGGCTAATGATTAATGAAAAATCATATAAAAAAGAGGTAAGTTTATATAAAGCCGAGGCTCTAAACAATCGAATTAGAGCCCACCTCAAAAATTTCACTAGAATAGGTTGTTTTGATGCCCAAATTTTCTCAAATTGATCATCTCAACATCAAGATGCATGGCCATGAGAAAAAAATGGATTTCAAGTTTTAAAAATAATGTATTTTGTGACGTATTTTTGGACCGTCAATTTTCAAAATTTTCAAGTTTTCATACATCTATTAATCTACACTATTTTTGAAGCTTTAAACTTCATAAATAAAGATAAAAATATATTTTTACATTATCACAAATATTTCCAGTATTGAAACCACATTTCTCGATACTATTTGAAACTAGGCTCTAATTTGATTGTTTAGAGCCTAAGCTCTATACAAACTGCACACTATAAAAAAAGCGTCTATGAACTTACTAGAAGAGAGCACAGGGCCTAAAACAAAACACTCAAGGCCATATGCAATAAACCAATACACACAAGAACCTCATGGTTCACATGGGTCGGCAATAAAGACAAAAACGCTTTGACCTATTGAGAGAATGCAAAAATGTGGTTTTCAATACTCTAATATGTGGTTCGTATGCAAGGCCAACATCAAAGATCATAAGCACATCTGCACATGTGCATAACATGTGCCTTTGTTGGAGCGGTTCAAGAACATTACTGTTGGGTTTTTTAAACATGCATAGCTGCTGCTAATGTATAAACACACTCATTTTAGGAAAGGTTTTTAGACAAACTGTAAGTAAACACAAGTTTATAGAGGATAAACTCAAACTTCAATGCACACATTCATTCCATTAGGAAGTGCCTATTTAAAGGTCTTGCAAACAATTTTAAAACCACCAACAACAACTTAGGTGAAACCAATTTGAATAATCACCTACTAATTTTAACCTCCCATTATGATAACTAGCCACGTATCTTTAGATAGAGAGAGAGTAGAGATAACAACTATTAACCCATAACTACCAATAATATGAGAGTTACAAGACTCTCATGTGACTATCTTCCGATGATTTTGCATCACTATTTAATACTTCCTTTTGATGCAAAATCTTTTATATCAAGTAATTTTGAAATATGCAAACTTTACAAATGAGAGGGTTTTTGTGAAACCATAAGCTACTTGTTCGTATTTTGCGTCAATTAAGCCTTTCGGCACCACATCTTGGATGAAATGATGTTTAATTTTGATGTGCTTCATTTGTCTATGAAATATTGGATTCTTTGTCATGGTGATTGTTGTTTTGTTGTCGCACAAATTTTAGTCACATGTTCTTGGTGATTACGAAGATCTCCAGTTAATCTCTTTAGCCACATAGCTTGACATGCAACTGCCATACCATGCTCTCGGGGCTTGTTTAAGGCCATAAAGAATTTTTTTTAATTTATAGAAATTTTCTTTTTTTCTTTAGCTCTAAACTTTTTGGGTTGAATTACATACACATCCTCTTCAAAATCTCCATTTAAAAAAGTAGATTTGACATCAAGTTGATATATAGGCCATTGTTTTTGAGCCGCAACTGTTAAAATTGTTCTTATAGTTTCTAACCTCGCAATAAGGGAAAATGTTTCAAATAAATCAATACCTTGGTAGTGTGCATATCCTTTGCCAGTAGTCGACTTTTATGCTTTTTGTACACTTCCATCAACATTGTATTTTGTTTTGAAGATTTATTTTAGGCCAATCGTCTTTTTTCCTTGTGGCAAATCTGCAAACTACTATATTTGTTTTCATTCAATGCCCATCATCTCCTCTTTCATTGCCTCTTGCCATTCTTTCTTCTCATCTTCAAAACTTATTATATCTGCAACAAAAAGAGTGAAGCTACAAGATTCATAAATTTCTTGTGAAGATCTAAGTCTCCTTAGTGGGCTTTCTAAGGATGTATTTATAGGCAAATCATTACAAACTTCTATGCTATTATTTTCCAAAGTCAATGGAAGTGCAAATTTACCTTCCTCCATGATTTTGCTCCAATCCCGAAAACCATTTTCATCAAATTCAACCTCACGGCTTGTGATTAATGTTTTAGGTTTTAAGTTACACAACTGATACCCTTGAGATTTGATAGATATCTAATAAATACACATTTCTCACTTGTTTTATCCAATTTTTTACAAAATTCAGAATTTACAAATGCCTAGGCATTACAACCAAAGACTTTAAAGTGACTTGCATCAAGTTTGCTTCCACTCCATGCTTCATATGATGTTTGCTTTTGTATTGCCTTTGTTGGAGATCTATTCAACAAATAAATTGAAATGACCACAACTTCTTCCCAAAAATCATTTGAAAGATATTTTTCTTTTAACAAACTCCTTATCATTTCAACAATAGTCATGTTTTTCCTCTCTGCTACTCCATTTTTCTCAAGTGTGTAATGAGTAATAAGGTGTCCGTAAATGCCATTTTATTTACAAAAAGAATCAATATCATTTGAAACAAATTCACCCCCTCTATCTGTAAGCAAAGTCTTTATGGAAAAACCACTTTGCTTTTTAACCAATGCTTCGAATCATTTAAACATTTGAAATGCCTTGGATTTTTTGTTCTAAAAATTATACGCAACACTTTCTACTAAAATCATCTATAAATAATAAGAAATATGTGTTGTCACTTATGGACTTAGTTTGCATTGAACCACTCACATCAGCATAAACTAATTCAAGTAGACATTTTGCTCTCCATGCCTTTCCTACTGGAAATAATATTTGATGTTGTTTTTCATAAAGACAAGTTTCACAAAGTTTACCATCATGACTAATTTTTGGTAAGCTATACCATTTTTTTTATTCAATAGTTTCATTCTATTAAAGTGAGGATGTCAATAGCTCATATGCCATATCTAAGATTCATTTCTAGCACTTGCATGATTTTCTAAGCCCGACAAGTCAAAAGGGAACATCTTTTTGTCAGCCATTTGAATATTTGCAATGATCAAACCAGATTTTTTTTTTTTTATCTTTAATGGAGCATCTATCATCATCAAATAGAATGGAATAAGCCATTTGCATCAAAGTTTCAATGCTCAACAAATTATGTGCAAGATTTGGAACAAATAAAACATCATTTAACTCCTTAACCTTACCGGATGATGTTCTTAATACAATTGTTCTTTTACCTTCAACTCACACTCGCTTATCATCCAAAGTCATGGATATTCACAATTTCATCAATATTTTGAAGAATATTCTTCAAGTCAAACATGTGGTTACTACACCCACTATCCAAAAACCAAACATCATTTACAATTTCTTTTACATATATGCTAAACATAGTTAGTCTCGTATAATTCCTTTTCTTCAACAAAATTGGCTTGTTGGTTCGGCCTAAAATACCATCATTCACTATATGACCAAATTTTTTGCCATCAAAACATTGAGTACATTTGTATTTTTACCTCCTCTATTTGCATTGTTACCTTTTTCCTCACTAGGTGAATTTCTTTGGTCATTCGTGTAACCAAACGTTCCTCTTCCTCTGACTCTACTTCTACCATTATATCCACCTGTTCCACATCCTCTACGTACATATCTCTCAAAATTGTTATAATTTTTTCGAGGATGACTCCACCTTAGATTGAAATGCCTGCTCCTTATTTTTCTGTATTGACCTATTAATCTTGTTTTCATTTGCTCGCGAAGAGCCCATTAGTTCATCAAATAAGAAGATATCCGAGTCTTTAAATTTTTCTATTGTAGCAACTACATGATCAAATTTAGATGGTATACTTCTCAAAACTTTTTCAACTATCTTTTCATCTAAAATATTTTATCCAAATGATTTCATTTGATTAACTATTGTAGTCACCCTAACAAGAAAATCTTGAATATTTTCATTATTTTTCATAAGCAAAGTTTCAAATTCTCGTCGAACGGATTGGAGTTTTACTGTTTTTACCTTATTTGTTCATTGATATCCCTTTTGCAAAATACTCCAAGCTTCAGTCGACAAAGTTGCAAAAACAATCCTTGAAAGAATTTACTCATGAACTGCTTTTTGTATGAAAACTAATGCCTTCAAATCCCTTTTTTTTCTTCTTATCTCTATCGTTTGGGCTGCAGTAAGTTTAGCATATTCACTTAGATGCTCTGCACAACCATTCTCAACCACATGCCTTAAATCTTGAAACTAAAATAATGTTTTCATTTTAATATTCCAATGCTAAAAAAATTCACCTTTGAAAAATTGGAATTGATGGTTGAGAAATATTTGATGGACTACTATTATTTGTCATATAGAATGATGCGGCAAATTAAGTAAAGAAATTTAAATTTCTATTACCTTTTCTCTAAGTTTTGGCTTTGACCTGCTGGTCCTAAATGTCCTCTCCAAATAATAAATATCCACGCCTATGCCTATCTCTTTTGGCAATCTGTTCTTTGGTACCACAAATTGTTGGGTTTTTTCAACATACATACTTGCTGCTATTGAATACGGTTTTTTAAACATGCTGCTGCTATTGTATGAAAAAAACACTCCTTTTAGCAAAGGATTTTATATAAACTATAAGTAAATATATGTTTAGAGAGGATAAACTCAAACTTCAAAGAACACATACATTCTAATCATAATCTCACATTAAAATAACTACCCACATATCTTTAGGGCGTATTCGATAACAAGAATTTAGGGGGAGGAAGAAGGAAGTTCCCATTATTATACAACTTACGTGTTTGATGCATGAAACTTATATAACTTCCATGATTAATGCACCAAAACCTATGGCTCCTAGACTTAAGGGGAAAAAATATTTTGACCACATCTTATCATAACTCTAACATCACCAAAACCTATGCCTCTATTGCACCATACGTTGAGCTTATTGGCGTGGTCAATAGTATATACATGCAAAGAAAACCTTAAAAACAGCAAATACACTTAAACATATATCACTTATCACAACAGAAGCATGAATGCTTTCAATCTGAGAAATCTTTAATTTGTTTCACTTGTTACTGAATGCCATGACGATGTCCAACACTCCTAGTTAACAATTGAATTGAGAAAAAAAGGAAATAGGTTGGTAAGAATTTAATATTTTCTAGTGGAACAGGTGACAGAACTAGTAGATGGGGTCTTTATTGGAACCTCCACCAACCACGCTTTGTTCGATGGCACATCATACTGGATGATTGTTAATGCCTTGTCAGAGCTGTGTAGAGGTGCCGAGAAAATATCTCGGCCACCGGTGTCGGAGCAATGGTTCCCCTACCCTGTCCCTATAAAGCTTCCATTCCACCCCGGCCTGGTCGACAGGTTCACTCCCCCACCACTCAAGGAGAGGGTATTCCACTTCAGCGCGGCTTCCATTGCCATACTTAAAGCCAAGGCAAACGCCACCAAAGATCCAGATGCGCCCCCATTCTCATCCTTCCAAGTCCTCTATGCACACCTCTGGCGAGGCGTGACCCGTGCTCGGAAGAACCCAGAAGGTGAGACCGTTAGGTGCAGCCTGTATGTGACATATCGACAGAGAGTGACACCTCCCATGCCAGCCAACAGCATCGGTAACATTATCCGTTCTGTCTATGCCTTGACTACTGCTGGAGAGCTTTTGAGCCACAACCTAGCTTGGGCCGCAGGGCTCTTGCAGAAGCTAATTTCCTCTCAGACTGACCAAGAGTCACGTGAGGGGCTGGCGGCCCAAGCTAGAAACCCACATGTGACGCATCTGAGCAGCTTTGGCTCGACTCACCTTCTCATGGGGAGCTCTCCTAGGTTCGATATGTATGGCAATGATTTCGGGTGGGGAAAGCCGATTCAGGCGAGAGTGGGGCACGACAACAGGTACGATGGGAAGGCGTTTGCATTGCCTGCCCCTGAAGGTGGTGGAAGCACCGAAGTGGAGCTGTGTCTCCTTCCGGAGTACATGGACGCTTTGGAAGTTGATGAAGAGTTCCTTGAGGCAGTGACACCTTCTTGAGCACCCCACTATGTTGGGCTTCTTCTTTCTCACCCTTGTATTTGTTGCATTTCCTTTTTTGTTGTTTGGTGTTTAATCTGATTTACTATGTTTTATCAAGAGATACACCGTTTGGTTCGAATGAAAAAGTTTTCGAGAAAAACTTTTCATATGAAAGAACTCTCATATGTGATTAAAGTATGAAATTTCAATTGTTATTGGGTGTCTTCCACTCTTAAGTTACAAAATTTAATCTCAACCATACATTTTATAATAATTGAATTAGATGAGTTTAAGTTAGAAAATCTTATTCAAAATATGCATTTTACAATTATATGCCTAATAAGTGAATTAAACAGGCAGCTTCCAACTTTCTCAATAATAAACAAATGAAAAATGCCAACAACACAATTTATCAAATAAGGTAATAAGGTTCTCAACTTTTAGGCTAACAATTTTCACCTTTGTCCCAAATCCAGGAAAAGCAGCAGTAAGGGAAAGCTGCAAAGAAAGTTAAATGCCACCTTGGTTCGTCCAAACTCGCTCTCATTTAATCCAATCCAAATCATTAGTTGGGGCTCATGTTTCACATTTATGTACTTCCCACCATAGTTTATATTGGATGGATGAATTAAAATGATGGATCAACCAACTGCATCTAGAGTTTCTCGAATCAGTGTCACGCAAGGAATAGTGCCACTATTAGTTTCAAAAAGAAAAAAATAAAAAGTGCTAATATATTTTATAAGGGGATAATATCATTCAAGAAAATCATTGAGAGGTTTAAAAAAAACCAATTAGCATTAAGGGGATTACTTTTTAATTTTTCATTTGCTTCGAGTGTCGTATCAAAAATATATCAAAAATTACCCAAATTGCCCTTAATCAGGATTGGAAACATTTTAAGAAATAAGGCATTTTAGTAATTTGAACCAAGTAGAGGTACTCATGTCATTTGGTTGAGGCCTCTTAGGTGTGCCAAATTATTAAAATATCTTTGTTTTTAGGGTTTTGAACCCTAAAACAATGTTACTTTTTGGGCATTGTTCAAAAACATTTTGAGGAGGTACATTTTGAGGAGGTACATTAGTGAACTGAAAGTAAATCCTCTAATGTTAATTATGACATTTTGACCCTTAACGTGTTTGACCTCGACTTCCTATATAATATCTTCCTTATTTTCAATGTTTGTACACTAAAAAAGAGTGTTACGGTGCACTGATATTTATTTAGGGAAATTTATCAAATATCGATGAGAGATATACTACGAAATATTTTACCCACATAGTTTGATTTAATTTCACAATAGCTATCAAAAGACACATGATTATATGTTGGAATAGTTGCAAATGTGCAAAAATATCAAATAGTGTATCTTTCATGAGTATTTTGATAAACTTTCCTTTATTTTATATGGTTTCTTTACCGCTGCTGCTGAAGCCCAACATGCACAGCTGCAGCCTTCTGCACCATCCAATTAAATGGATAATGCAAATTTTACACAAATTTCTTAGAGGCTTGTTGGTACAAAAAGAAGGCCCAACAGCTATCTTGGAAAAGGAATAGACAATCATCTCAGAGAAACTTGTGCTTGTGTGAAGAGAGATGGTAAAAGAGCATAATAATCAATAATGGAAACCCAGCTAAGTAAGAGAGAGAGATCGTGAAAGCAAGCAAAACTCTCAAAACTAGAGATATAGAAAGAAAAGATTGTATGAGAGAGGAGAGAGAGATCACACGCAATCTTTATATTTCACCGACATTTATACATAGTTGAAATCACAAAATCTATATTGCATATTTTATTAGTAATTGTGAGCGAATATATACACTTCCTGCAACCTATAGGGCACGCAAAACTCTTAGAGAGAGAAAACTAGGGCGAAAGAGATGGAGAGGGATAAACACCATATCATTTCTTGATAGCAAGAGTTACAGGGAAACCTAGTGACCACAATCTCCCCTAACTCTTAAGAACATGGACTACAACCATCGCAGGCATAATCTTACACCTCGTATTCTCTTTGTAAGTATTTACTTCTTTGGATTACTTCATAGATCAAATGATTGATATCATTCACTCTAACCTCTCTAAGCAACCTAAATATTATAGGTTTTGTAATACCTTGAATGCTATCATGAAGAACCTTTCTATATGTTTACGCTCCTATCCGCGTTGATCTTGAGAAGAGATCTGCTCAAATCTTAGCAAAAACTAAGTTAATTTTGTGAAAAATAGAGATAGTGGGGTCGCTCAAATTATGGGCACAAGAATGGTACATATCTATTCAAATTTGCTCCTTTCTTGGGTCCATTGGCAGCGTCAGCCTCCAGATCTATATATTTTGCATTAAAAACTCTTCAAAAACTTTATAAAGCAAGAAATAACAAAAAATATAAAAAATAATACTAATTTAAATGGTAAAATTAACTACAATTGAAAAAGGGAAGGGAACTTACCTCTGGGGATGCGAAACTCGGAGTTTCAGGCTTAGATCAAGCTGTACTTTGATTTGTACCACCATCTGCTGTTAGATGCCTATGCTTCTGGGAATCAATAGATCTAAGGTATTTTTATCTAGATCTAAGGTTCTTAAGGCTAGAGGAAAAGCTCGTGAATTTTTTGTAGTATCTACCTAAGCTTTTATGAGGGTTTAGGAGGTTTTTCACTAGATTTCTAAGATTTTTTTAGGCTTCTCTTCAATCCAAATTTTTGAATTTACTGAGATTTTGGGGATTTTTTGGGATTTTTTCTATTTTTTCAAAATTTTCTAAGGGGTTTTCCTATTTTTTGGTGTTTTCTAGGCTATTTTTGGGCTATTTTTTTAATTTCAAGAATTTCTCACGATTTCTTGATTTCCTCTTTTGGTTATGGAGGAAGGGGTATTTATAGTGCTAAATTTGTAATTTTTTGGATTTTTTTTAATCTATCTAGAATTTTTTGGCTTGATCATTAAGAAAATGCCCATTTTACTGCATCATCGAGCTTGACTAGGCCCATGAAGGGATTTGGGGGCATGCCAACACGTCACGTGTTGGGCTGGTCTGCTTGACACGCTCCATGTCGGGCTGCCCAATGTGCCCCCTGTCGAGCAAGTCACCATGGGCCCATCAGGCAGGGACCTATTGGTCATTTTCTATATCTTTTTATCCATTTTATCGATTAAGGCAATTCATGGACCGTTCGAAAGATCTTTGGGTCTACATCGATTTGGGATAGGTTTTAGGAAGTTTGGGATAATTATATTGGGTATAGGTTGCCTATGGCCTACTAGGGTGTTTATGGTCCTTTAGATTCAGAATCGTGGTTTTAAGAATTCCCTTAGCAAAAATTTCGAGGGGAGGTTTCAAAGTTGCCCCTCTTTGGAATTCACTTAGGAAACTGAGTGAATGATAAAGAAGTAGACACCTGAGATACGGTGGGGAGGAAAAGTTTTTCGAGTGATCGTTCTTTTGAATGATCAATACCCTTTGGGTAGGTGGTATGCCAATGGATGCTTTTGATCCATAAGACATATAACTGGCACTGCTATATTTGAGTCAGTGCAGTTGAGAAGTCTATGACTATCAGGATCCGATGTGATAGGCAACATAAACCATGCTATCTGTGCACCAATGACATTCCTTATTGTAGTCACCCTAATGCTATTTGGGTGCTGCCAGTGTAGTCATCTTCAACTTTAGACCTTTTCTCGAGGTCTAGTTCTCTAATCGAATGAGAGTTTGATTTAGAATAAATTTATGAAATGATGAATTCCTGGCTAATTGAACTTTTTGGTTCGCCTTCTATTCTGATTCTTTGGGGTCCACAGGTTCGGGCATTTTTTATTTGGGAACTTACAGGTTGATTTTTGTTTTTCCTGAGGTTTGCCGGAATGACAATCTAGGATTTGGTGGTAGCGGATGCATCATGTCCAAGCCTCCATGAAACTCATTTTTCTAAAAACATTTTAGAAGGTTTTGAAGAGAGATTGAATTTTGAAACAGACAGAGTTCCGAGCTACAATTTTAACCAAAGAAATTAAGGTTTTTGAAAACTCACGAAACACAGGGGAAATTTTGAAAAGAAAATTTTGGTAAGCAGTTGTTGTACATCATTATTGACGTACTTACATCCCTTATATAAATAAGAAGAGAGCCAGTAACAACCTGGTCCTACTGGTACCCAAGACACCGCAAGACCAAGGAACGTTGCAAAATAACCATAAAACTGGGAAACATTGGAAAATGTACTAAAACGGCCTTTAAAGACTTAAAAGGGTAGTTTGGGATGCCCAAAGGACACTCGCAAAGTTTCATCACATTCATATAAGTTTTGACCTGATCAAGACAAAAATTGAGTCTCAAAGACCAGTTCCTTTCATGCCAGAAAGAGACCTTGCAACTATAGCCCTATGCTAAGGGATTCAAAATAATACCAGACTATAGCCATTACATCCAGAGCATCGAAAAACCCCCAGGGACCAAATTTGGGCTCAATCGGACCTCCCAAGAACATTCTGAACCTAAATTACCACAAAACGGGTAGGTTTTACACTATTGTGTTGCGGCCTCACCAAACTAGTTTCCAATCATAGAGGCTATGTTTTCACATCTTGGGATATCTTCAAGCACCTATAGGTCACTTGTTTGGATTCAGAACAAACTAAACTTCAGACACAAGCTAGGTCTCAACGACCCGGTCATTGACATATGGCACGTGTCATGACGTGACACAGAACCCAAGCTTTTCTAAAGAAAATACTAGCCCGAAACCATAGAAATAAGAGTTTAAAGGAAAGATGTCTCGAACTTCATGAAACCATTATTTGAGACTCATAAATCGGATCATCGCAAAGTCAGGTCTGATGCGACCATATCACGAAGGGCTACAAGCTGGTATAACTTTTACACACAATCTAAGGTCAGATAACGCAAATTCCAAGATTGAAGAAAGGCAAGATTTCTCGGTCATTGGAATCCTTTTTCCGACGAACTCCCGAATTCAAAAATACTTCAAGCAAGAACCAAATCGGACAAAATTTGGTGCAAATCAATTGTGACAGTCTCCTCTTTAATTTGCAATCAAAATAAAGGCTCGGAGCACCATGGATCAAACTACATTGACAACCAAAGTGCACAACCCAGCCAAATTTTTACCCATCAGGTAAAGTCTGTCTCAAGATGATCAAAAGACATCAAGCTCTTCAGAATCAAGGAAGCATCAAGACTACGATGC